AAGACACTATTAAATATTCCATGTAACAGTGCTCCAAAGGAGACAGGGCTCCAGGATAAGACGCACCACCTTGTAACAGGGGTGTAATTAAAGACCATGCCATAACACATCGAGGGTCAAGTCAAAATCATTCTCTTCTTTTCCCCCTTTTTTTTCATTTGTTTTAAGCTGCCAAACGTTACCAGGGCTGCTGTGCAGGGTTTGGCTTCCAAACTCTCATAACTTTTGCATCAAGGACGTTTGAAGATCTCCTTTGAATAACCAGTTGCATGGACATGTTACACTCTTGTCAAATTGGTTGGAGCACAGTCCTGCTGCTGGATCCCAGCTCCTCAAAGCAGTCAGTGACTCTCTGGATGCTGGTGATCTGGTTCATGTGCAGTTATGCTTTTTTCAAAGCTTTTTGCAACATCCTCCTCTAAAGGCTTGGAAAGAAGAAACCAAGCTGGCGTAGGCAAGAGGTAATGAGTTATTGGATGGAAGGTAAGATGTGAATGTCAGAAATAGGTAATAGGCTTCGTGGTGAGGTAGAGCCAGATGTGTGGGTCTCCTGGTGGCCCGTGCTGGGAGATGTGGTCCCCGATGTAATTGGGCTAGAAGGGCTGGATGGCTACTGGGGGAAAACACGCTTCTGCTGGTGCACAACCGCTCAGATGAGCCCAGGCTGAGGCTGACTCTGAAGGGCATCAGGGTGACCTCCCAGGGTGCCAGCCCAGGCGGCAAACCTCAGCACAGGGAACACCAGCGTGTCCCGCACAGGTCCCGGCAGGAGGGAGGCAGATCCCGAGCTGCAGGTAAGGGGTGGAGCGTGATTCCATCCTTAACGCTGCTCCGGCTGTGACGATGGCACCAGTCCTTCCCCGTTAGAGCGGCACGTGGGATTTTTCCATTCCTCATCTCCATATCTTCCAACCTTACATAAGCTCTGGGCTTGGGGGTTTTTAACACGTTTTTGCGTCGCTGCGGTTGTCTGAGCGACGCACTGTGTCACTCCTGGTGTGCTGTCACCCCGGCAAAGCCGAGCACTGCCGGCAGCTTGGGGAAGACGAGTAACAGCAAGGAGGGAGCTGGGGTTGGGCTTGTACCTCCAAAAGCCTCGAAACCTCCCCTGGCTCCCTCCTGCCTGCAGACAGCCACCCCAGAAGCAGCTTTGAGCCCAAATACCTGCACAGCAGCTGGGGCTCGGCTGCCGAAGGCAGGAGCTGGAGGAGGAACTAAATTCTGCTGCTGCGTGTTGCAGGGCCGTGCAGGTGCATAGCATCACCCCAAGCCCCTGAGGAAGTCCCTGAGGGTGGTGAGGGTCCTGCTTGGCATCTGGTTTGGGTGGCTGAGCGCAAGGAGGAGCTGCCTGAAGGGCATTGCCAGAGCTTGGGCTCTGCTGCCAGCAGACGGTGTCCCGATCTGGGTGCTGGGAGGAGGAGGAAGATGCCGTGTTGCAGTGTCTCACCAGCTGTCCCATGTGCTGTACCCAGCTGTGCCAGTGAACCTGCAAATACAATGAGGGTGTCAAAACCGGTTGCTGTCACTCAGGTTGGGCAACAGTCATGGCCATGGCTTTGAAAAATGGCACTGCAGCGCTCAAGAGCATTGGGAAACCAAACCCAATGTGTGGGATGGTTTGGGAAGGACTTGGTGCATAGAGAAAGGGTAAATCCATGAATCCCAGAGACCGGGCACAGCCCTGCCCCCCCCATCCCGGCTTGGCGGAGCTGGGAAAGGCACGGAGCCGAGCGAGGACGGGCCCAGGGCCAAGGCTTTCCCTGGCGATGCTGCAGCGCTCAAGAGCATTGGGAAACCAAACCCAATGTGTGGGATGGTTTGGGAAGGACTTGGTGCATAGAGAAAGGGTAAATCCATGAATCCCAGAGACCGGGCACAGCCCTGCCCCCCCCATCCCGGCTTGGCGGAGCTGGGAAAGGCACGGAGCCGAGCGAGGACGGGCCCAGGGCCAAGGCTTTCCCTGGCGATGAGGAAGGCTCAGCAGGTTTAGGTGACGCAGCCCGGGGAGCGGCGATCGGAGAGATAGGGCTGAGCGAGAGAGAAGTGAAATCGGGGAAGCAGGTTCCCTCACCACGCGCCGACGAGGTTTGAGATCGGCATCTGCCCCG